GCGACAATGTGTCGAATCAAACACCAATCAATGCGTTGGTTCTGCGATTCTTTTGATTCGAGTGGTATCGACGCTCGACAAAATATGATCACTACTGATCTCCATTTATCTGCCGATCAAGGTAAATCGGCCGCCGACAGAGGCTATCTTAACCTAGGCTATGCTAGTATTGGAAATATTCCTTTCAAATTTAATGTTAAAACAGTAACTAATGCCCATGCTGGCAAAGTTGACGGCAAACATCATAACGAATGTGATGGCCGTTCTTGGATTAAATTGGACACTTTTGAAACTTACATGCAAAATATAACTCTGACTGTTAACCTCAAAGATGGAACAGTCAATAATTGGCAAAACATTCCTTTGCCCTGTCCAGTGTCTACAAATGGATGTGAAACAACATCCTTAGACGCTTTTGCTTATACTTGGGAAGAACCCAACAATTGCTTTTTCACTGTTTTAAACAGATTTCCGGCTAAAATGATTCAAAACGAAGAATCATACTATATAATTAAAGGCGATTCTAGCCCGTCTATTCATTCTACCCATACAAGGTATTCTCAAAAATTTATGCTACAGGTGATGAATAAACCGCAATCTCTTTGTGGTCATCCCAGAATAGTGTATCCAACTTCATATGATTCACTTTTTATTGCATACACTGACGGTTTCAATATGGATACTGGAATCCAAGTTAAACCAACCCCAGAAACGGGAACTATTCATAATGCCGGCCAACCAAATTCTACTTTTCTCACATTAAGTGATGATTCGCCGCCACTCCAATTTTCAAGTCATCAAATTGACTACGAAGCTCATATAGGTACCAAATTGGACTATATTCTTTTCTATAGATTCTACATGCTCAGAATGGCCGAGTTAGCCCTTCTGCAAAATCAATGTGAGCTAGAACGCTCCTCAATATTAAATACTTTAATGCTTTCACTTGAAAGCCCCCGTTTGGCTGGCTATATTCTAACCAAAAACCGCTCTATGTTCTTAGAGACCAATGGCAATGTTGCCTGGCTCTACCATTGTCCGAAATTTTATTCACCTTTGCAATTAATGGATGAATGCTATAATCGCATTCCCATTATGTATAAGGAAAACATTCGATTTGTCGATCCAATTACGCGACAAACTTTTCAGTCGGCAGATCTACACGACTGCTCCGACAAACATTCAAATCTCTTTCAACTAGATGTTGATGATGATAAGTCCTGGATTGAATTAATTCCTCAAATTACAAGGGTTACAGGACCATATCTCTTTGAACCAAAAGAGATAATTCAAAAGATTAAGCATTCTTTAGCCTCTAGCCAAGGCGCTTCAATCTACACTTATGCTCAAATGCAAAAATTCTGGAATATGATTTCCGATAATTCAGAGATGAAAGGAATACTGCAAAAAGTATCCAGGTCCTTTCTAAATGCTAAAAAAATGCTTTTCAAGGACTCATACAGCCCACTAGGCTCTTCCCAAACAATCTATTTGGACTATCTCATCTCTCCAAACTTTTGGAAAAACGAATACACCCGTATATTCGGGAAAGTACAATACTATTTAGAAAAATGCGGAATAGTCTTCGCCTCTTTTCTATTTGTGAAATTTTTACTAGATTGCCTAGTATTCATAATAAAGGCTATGCATATTCACAAAATCACCGGCCGCTCACCACACTTTGGCAAAGTATTGCTTGCCGCTTCATATAATATACTTTTCACTTCCATAGTGACCTCAATTTTCACTCAAGATGAGCAAACTGAAAAAATAGAACAAGATTGTGATCAAAAAATACAAGCCCCTCTTTTAGAGGAAATTGATAAAATAAACCAGGATTGCATGTATCCTCACATCCAATTAACAAGTTTTGAGAGAAGAACTCAAAACTTGGATCACCCAACAAACCCAGTCTAATAAAAAAAAATTCTACTGTTCTAGGATATACCAACTGATTCAACTATGGACGCAACACTTGATGACGACTTGAGAGATTTTGAGGATCTTCTCTCACTCCTGCCACCAACCGATCCACTGGACTCGCAGATTTCAGCACTCACTCAACAACCAACTGTTTCTACTACTACAACACCCACTGCAAAGCCGACCTCAACACGATCCTTCGTTGAGCCACTACTTCAAACCAGTTCAGCTGTCCCGATAACTACAGCATCACAGCCACCACCCCTAAAAATTTCACCCCCTGATTTTAAAATACCCCTGGTTCCCTCGAATTCTAAAATTAAAAAACGGACCCAGATTGTAAGACCATATAAGATACTAACGGCAAATACGCCGGTATCAACTTCTCAATATCCAATGACCATTAGGCGACAGCCCTTGCACCACACTGAATTAAAAACTAAATTACATATTCAGTTAGAAAGGGAACGATACATTAATTCTAACAGTAATCCCGGCTTCGATATGGATCTCAATTATGCTTTGAATCCATTAATCAATCGTTTTAAATTAGAAGCCTATCACCCTATAAAAAAAATGTATTCCATAACTAATTCCCTTCTTGAATATCAAAAAATCTATGTCCCAGCAAAATATCTGACAGCAAAATTACAAACCCCCCAGTTAGATGACTATACTGAGCAAATTCAGCGCAGTCATATACATGAAACGCAACAAATCCGGGAGCTGAAAAAGCAAATCCACAATTTGAAAACAAAAAATCAACAACTTATAGCCCGGTTGGAAGGAAAATTGTAAGAAAATTATCCTTTTATTTAAACATTTATTCTTTCGCTTTATATAGCTATGTAGTATAGCTATAAATTTCCTTTTAACAATTTTGACTTTTATAAAAACAAAAAACACAAAAAAATACTCCCTTTGTATGAACCAGTCCTCCCCTTATTACGCGTTTGGACAGACTTCACATACTTCAGGAAGAAAAGGAGACTTCGGAAAAAGAATGTTTAAGGAAAAAAACTAACCTTCAAACTTTTGAGAAACAGATAATTTTGATGTATTTAATTTTATAGTTAAATCCCTTGGTTGTGTAAACTCTATTTTGATTTATAAATGTAACTGATGTATTTATTTATTCAAGCCTGACTCAAAGTATCAGTTGATTAAAAACATCTGCTACATGTAATACCAATAAACTACTAACCAACTTTATGAGATTGAAAGAAAAAGCTTTTGTTCAGAAACATCTGCTACCCGTAATACCAACAAAACTTTATGAGATTGAAAGAAAAAGCTTCGATCGATCAATAATTACTCCACTATTCAAGTGAAAGTAATAAAAATGAAAGTTTCAGTTTTTTTCCTCTCCAAATAGGAGGATGGATATGTTCTGATTTCAAATAGAAGCAGAAACATGAATTATTTTATTGCGTTCACAAAATGTGACGCCGCCGCCACCACCAAAAGAAATATGTTTTTATTCCCTTGCAAAAGGAAGGGAAATGCTATTGGAATAATTCGTATAACGTTTTAAGCATTGAGAATTGAAACGACTATTCTCATTCAATACAAATAATAACGATTCCTCTCGTAAAGTACGAGCATACGAAACCTTCTTCTCGTAAAATACGAATGTACGAATAAAGAATACGAAGTTAAAAGAAACTTCTCATTTGATACGAAAAGTGGCGTGATTTCCCCATTTGAGTATAAATAGAAGCTCAAAACTACGGGAATTCATTCCAACAACTTCTCTTCTACCACCACCACCACTCTCCTTAACCAACCCAACCCTTCTCTAAAATAGTATTCAATCTCACCGTAAAAAATAAATATTGAGTCAAAAGGCAACTTGCTGTAAATTCATACTAACTTCTTTTTTTAATAAAATATTTCTCAGCGAATTTTAGATTTACTTTCTAAGATAGAAAGTAGAAAGGACCCTTTATTCCTAGCAAGCGTTTTGTCCGACGTAAATAGTTTTGCTAGCGTAATAAATTTTAGAAAAAAAATCTAAAATTCGCTGAGAAATATTTTATTAAAAAAAGAAGTTAGTATGAATTTACAGCAAGTTGCCTTTTGACTCAATACTTATTTTTTACGGTGAGATTGGAGATATTTTCTCTGAGATTGAATACTATTTTAGAGAAGGGTTGGGGTGGTTGAGGAGAGTGGTGGTGGTGGTAGAAGAGAAGTTGTTGGAATGAATTCCCGTAGTTTTGAGCTTCTATTTATACTCAAATGGGGAAATCACGCCACTTTTCGTATCAAATGAGAAGTTTCTTTTAACTTCGTATTCTTTATTCGTACATTCGTATTTTACGAGAAGAAGGTTTCGTATGCTCGTACTTTACGAGAGGAATCGTTATTATTCGTATTGAATGAGAATAGTCGTTTCAATTCTCAATGCTTAAAACGTTATACGAATTATTCCAATAGCATTTCCCTTCCTTTTGCAAGAAAATAAAAAAAACATATTTCTTTTGGTGGTGGCGGCGGCGTCACATTTTGTGAACGCAATAAAATAATTCATGTTTCTGTTTCTATTTGAAATCAGAACAATACCCATACGTTTTCACCTTTTGTCAAATCAATCTTAATTTAAAAAATCACCACAAGTTTATAAATTCCTTATTTTCTTTGAAAGTCGGAACAAAAAAGAGCAAACTGATCTATTTTGGAAAGGTTATCACGTGAAATACAATTTTCAGAATTGATATATACGTTTTAAGGCCTCCTTGAAGTTCAAAGTTGACAGATGCTCGATTTAAAAAAAATTTTTCCGCTTCAAATTTTTTGTCGCTATAGTGTGTTTTTAGTTTCTAGGATGTCAAAGAGTTTCATATCACATGACAACAAGCTAGAGATACAAATATTTCAAATTTTTGGGCACAATTGTTCCTGCGTTTAATGGAAGTGTTGTTTAACTAAGCTGCTATGATAATGATTTAGGTGCTCATTTTGTAATCAATTTAAACTGTTGGATCTTGTTAACAATCCCCCCCCTATTGCAGAAGGGAGGGGGATTCGTAACAAAGGTAGCAAATTCGTATATTCTAAACTGATCAATTCTCTTTTTACAAGCTACCATTGAGGGGGGGGGGAATAGTTAACAAGATCCAAACTGTTTCATATTGCACAATAGCTTCATTTATTTGAAGATAGGTTTTCTTTGTTGGTTGTTCGGTTTTTCTACCATCGTTGGAATAGATCCTTGGACTGAAACAAAATACATTTTATGTTAAAATCAATCATTCTACTTGTAGTTAGTGTTATTATGATACGAAACTATATTTCCCAAACATCTATAAGACTCTCAATTTTGATTCTGAGTAGTCTCAGAACAACTATGTCTTGTGGTTCCGATTTTTTTTTCAAGCAAACGAACATGGAGGATTATTCCACAGCTTAAGCCAAATAATTAATGTTAGATCTGGTGTTACTGTTGGCTATTAGCGGGTGTCTGAAAATCATAAGCGCGGCAGTTCAAATCCCAGTACATTCCGATTCTTTAAAGCACTGAAGCTAGAACCCTTGTGTTTTTCCACGCAAACTCTTGCACTGCTTTTTTCTTCATCTAAATCAATTTGGGTGAAAATTTACGGCTGTTTCATCAATTTCGCCGAGTTAAAAAGTCGACAAAAATGTTGAAATTATACCTTTGCCCGTTTCCCACATTTTACGGAATACAGCGTTTCATGGGTGATCTCCGTTCATTCTGCGTTTGATTCTATGTCTAACAAGACTGCCCGTATCAAGGCGAAGCCATAAAAATTTCGACTGCATTTTAAGGTCCGTGGAGCAGTAAAAACATGAAAATTTTGAACAAAAAAAAATTTTTGAACATTTAAAAGTTAAATTTTTTTTGAAAATCATTTCCCTACACGCCATATAAAATACAAAGTGATAGATTTCGCCCCTAGTAGCATATCAATTCTGGTAAATGAGCTTCCTTCAACCAATTTGGAACGATTTCTGATACGGATTAAATCTCCACTTACGCGTTAATAGCGCGAAAAAATCGCGCATTAATTGTCCAAAATTGGCCAAAATGGCAATTTTTAAACCCTCATAACTTTACAAAAAATGATCAAAAGTAAAATATGGTTTCAAATTTGAGCTCAGCATAACAATAGCCTAATTCGAAAGATATTAAAAAAATCTTTCACAAATGGCTAGTTAAAAAGTCGAAATTTGTCTGAAGAAAAAAAATCCACACGAGCACAATTGTTCCGTTACTTTCGTTACGAAAGTCGGAACAAAAATGAACCAATATTTACTTCAGGTATTTTACTTGCGATCATTTTTTCGAAAAGTTATGAGGGTTTTAAGATTGCCATTTCGGCCAATTTCGTACAATTAAGGCGCGATATATTTGACGCTATTAACGCGTAAGCGGAGATTTAATCCGCCTCAGAAATCGTTCCAAATTGGTTGAAGGAAGCTTATTAATCAGAATTGATTTGCTGCTAGGAGCGAAAATTTTCACTTTGTATTTTATATGGTGTGTAGGGAGATGATTTCCAAAAAAAAAATTCAAAAGGTTTTAAATGTTCAAAAAAAATTTTTTTTTGCTTAAATTTTTCATGTTTTTACTGCTCAACGGCCTTAAAAGGCAGTCGGAACCTTTATGATTTCGCCTCGATACGGCAGTCTTGTTAGACATAGAATCAAACGCAGAATGTATGGAGATCACCCATGAAACGCTCTATTCAGTAAAATGTGGGAAACGGGCGAAGGTATAATTTCAACATTTTTGTCGACTTTTTAACTCGGCGAAATTGATGAAACAACCGTAAATTTTCCCCCAAAATTGATTCTGGGTAAAGAAAAATGGATTTTTTGAAGATCAAATTTGAATATAAAGCATTATCAATTAAGTAACAGAATAAATTTCAAAATAAATTTCTTTTGCACGTTTCAATGAAATGCATAGTTTCCCGCATCTAAGAAAAGTGAAAACAGATCGATTATAATGGATTTATGTGGTCTATAATGTTGTAAATATAATCGATTCCCATGTTACGTTCAGACAACAAAATTGGACCAAAAATGGATTTAAACCCATTTTTTTCTCGCCAAAACAAAATGCATTTTAATTCATTTTGAATCCATTATAATGGATTTTATAATAAGTAGGAAATCACATTAAAATGGACTTTTTTCGACTTTGTTTTTGTTTCGCGCGTCGTGCAAAACTTTGCAAGAATTTCAGCATTTATCAACTGAGTGAAGTGATGCGCAAACTTTGCAAAGCGAATGTAAGGCCTGGCCTAATCCATTTCAAAACCTCAACTCAAATTGCAAAAAGATTCTGATGAGCTCCCCCCCCCCCCCCAACGTTTGCTCTTTTGCTCCCCTCCCCCCCCACTGAACCCATCACCTCAACCCCCCTCCCCCTTCTGAACCCACATACACCAACCCCGCCCCCCCCCCCCCCCACCTGAATCCACATACCCCCCAACCTGAACCCACATACCCCCAAACCCACCTGAACCCACATACCCCCCACCTGAACTGAACCCACATACCCCCACCTGAACCCACATAACGAAAATATCAAAGTTAGGTAGAAAAAAAGTAAGGAAGACTTTGTGTGCGTTGAAATTCGCATCTCAGTAAAGTGGAAAAAAAATCGATTTAAATTTAGTTTCATTGTCAGTGTCCACAAAAGTGAAAAAAAAATCGATTATAATGGATGAAAAAAGGATTTTATTGCCTCGAAAAATAATAATATTATAATCCATTTTTAATTGATCATAATCGATTTGATTTCACTTTTGTGGACACTGACAAGGAAACTCAATTATAATCGATTTTTATTCATGGAACTTTAATGCGGTTTATACATAATTTGGTTTCAATCAGTAGCGGATTTAGGGGGGTGGACCCCTCCCTTCTCAGGGATTCGACCCCCTGCCGATCCAAAGGGCCCCCTTTGTACTTTTTTGAAATATCCATATTTGGTGACGGACCTTAAAATTGTTCTAAAGGCGCCTTTGGTGCCAATCTATTCCAATTTTAAGGGGGGAGCGCGCGCCAAAAGAACGCAATTTTTTGGTCGAAATTTTCCAAAAAGTGCTTAAAAACGCCTTTTTTGGCCTTTTTTTAAAAAAAAATTTGCCGGCGGCGCCTAAAATTTGGTCAAATTAAGATCTTTATAGTTGTATGGGAGAGCTCAGAAAATCAATTTGGTCGACCTAAAAAAAGGTCTTAAAACTTTTGAAAATCCCCCCTCGAGAAAATCTTAGATCTGCCCCTGATTTAATAGTAATACTTGGTTGGCGAATATATTCTACATGTCATTTTGGGGGAAGATTGTCCAATTTATCCAAAATGATTTTGCAAACTCTGCCCAAACAGTAGAAAGAGTCCATTTTGCCCTTAGTTTAACCGCTACTAGGTTTATCCCATGCTTTCCATTCACTTTGTACTGACTCGTGAATAATTAGTCGGAACTTTCGTTTGTTTAAGCAGAGTGAAGCAGTTGGGTTGGATACATGTACATGATCTTTCATTCTGTTCAAAAAAACTCTGAAAACCTGATTTTATATGATTCATTTTTGGACTGCCATTTGAATCATTCCAACTTTTTTAGAAAATGCGCAAATTTTTTTTTCGTTTCAAAGTCTGCACATTCATATAATGTCGTTTCACCTTTCAACTTTTTTCTGATATTTTTCATTGTTTTCCCGCTTCTCACTCTTTTCAGGCGAATATCCAATTTTGGCTGACCTAACCTAAATTTTTTTTCAAAAAGCGCCAATTGTAGGCGAAAATTCTCAACCAAGTGTAGTATTGCAAACACTAATCAATGCATTTTAGATAGTTCAAAATTGGCTGATTTTTTTTTGCTTATTTGCTTCGAATTTCTGCAATAATTTTTGTGCATTCGAATCTTCGCGCCTGAGAGATTCCCCATTAATAGTGCTTGATAAATTAGGCTTTTTTCCCGGACCTCTTGATTTTCTTCTGAATTTCAATTCACGAAAGATTATCTTGAATGACTCTCGATGTAATTAATTACAATTAAAAGTGCAGCGTGAATAAGTTATCAAATTTTTACATTTCTTTAATGCAAATTGACGTATGAACTACTTTATCTTGTAGTTTTACCAGGGGATTGGAAACCTGAAAAGAGCTAAAAAAAAACCCATAACGGTTGAGCAAATGTGAATTTTTTTGCCGAGTAAATAATTTGCCCCTTTTGCAAAGGGGAGATAATCAAAGAGTTGCAAGAGTGAATTAATTCTTACTGTGAATCGATTGGGCAGTTTTGCACTGACGCAGTAGTTGTCTCTCTGAGGGAACCTCACGGGACCCACTCTACTCTGCCACTTCTCAGACAGTACGAACTCATCAGGAGCTGCAGACCTCTTCAGGGGTTCCACACACTCTGCAGTCGAGGGCCGGTTACGATACACGTCCAGTACAGTCGGCTGTTTCAACCCCATCTGCAAAGTTATCAAAAGTTTTAATCAATTTTTGACCACCCGCACTATCTCCTGTCTACAAATTACACAGAACTGCACTTGTTTCTCAATCGTGTCTGAAGAGTACTGGCGAAAAGATCGGTTGCTTGTCATGGGTGCCGCACATCAAGGATGACAATCAGAAGTGGTGCAGTGTCATGAACAACGCTTATTCTGGACTAAAAATGCCTAAATTTTTGAAAAGCGTCGTTTTACAGATGATCAAATAGTGTTTTGAGGTGCTGGTAAAGTTTTAATTTCGGCTTCAAGTCCCTTCGGCTTGAAGTCCCGTCGGCCTGTTGTCCTAGACCCGCTTGTCATATCCCTTTAGTAGTCACAGCAGCACACTAAACTCCAGCAGATGGAAATCATGTTATGCCACTGGGCAAGAAAAAAAAACGTTTAAATTTCTGCCACTAACAGAAAAGCAATTCGAGAATGATGGAATTTTCTCAGAACAGATCCTAGTTTTTGTATGATTCAATTCAAACGCTAATATTTTCCAAATTTATGAAGTTGAAAAGATATTAGGCAATAAGCGGCGAAATTGTACGGCAGCGTAGCGTTTATTATAAAAAAAAAACTATGAATCTTTACCTATTTCTTAACATTTTACCGATGAGTTCCTTTCATTAAAGTTTCAATTAAATTCAACTTTTGTAAACTTTTGTGATTGTTGATGATTTTCGGATCATGACTGCGAGAAAAGTTCAAAAAAACTAACAAATATTCAAAATAAAGAGGGATCAGAAAATTCGATCAGATGATAAATGGTAAGTGTTTCCGCTCAGCGGATATTGTCAAAAAATCTGTTTTTCTGAATTCTGTCGATAGGAGACTTTCTCTGCTAAGGTGATAGTTGAAGAATGGAGGATGGTGTTCGTCTTTCTTCTCCCTTTTCTCCCCAAGCAATTGGCAGTCGAAGACCGGTGATAATTTCTTTGAAGACTCGATTGACATTAAAGATTCGTTTCAAAAATATGCTCCTTAAGACAGATTAAAATCAAGCAAGAAGGGCAAAAAACTGATCAATTGGCTGCAAAAATTAAGTTTTTTTGCTAATAAAATTTGTTTATTGATCATCAATTACCACTTCAATCGAAAAAATTTAAAATATCTGAAAGAATGGAGAAAATCTAAGGAACGTTTTTTTTTATTTGTTATATAATTTCCGCGATAGCTGCAGTCAACTGAGGTTATTATTTTTAACTGTATTTTTTCGATACTACGTTGAATTTTTTGTTGTTGCCAGCTATCATAACCCAGGGGAGATACGTGTATAATATACAACCTCGTCACCTCTGCAAACTTGTTATTGAATCATCAATTATATCTTCAGCGGCACCAAACATTCTGAAAGGCAGAAAAAGAGTAGAAAAAAATACAGAATTTTTTTTTAGTTACCTACCTGTGACCGCAGTCAACAGAATTCATCAAATGATTTTAAATCGATCATGAATTTTCCCACTAATTTTTTCCTATCAAGAATGGCTTTTGTTTATTAAGTCGTTGAAGAAGGTTATATGGTAATATTTATTCGCGTGTACTTGTCTTAAGTTTGCAGTTTACTATTTAGGATATTAATCGTTGGTATGTATTTAGTAATGAATTGTATGGTATACCTATAATTTTGTGTTTAAGATCTGTGATATGAAACAATTGCTTAAAGAGTTTTACTAATAGTTTGATTAGTTCGATCAGTCTTGTTGCTATGAGAGTGAATTGAATTTTTTCATAGTTTTTCAGCTTGTGCCTTATGCTGTAGCTAGTTTCAGAGATTTGGAAAGTGCAAGTTTGGGGTCTAATAAATGTATTTAGTGCCATGTAATAAAAATAATATTATTTGAATCTGCTCCTGGATCTATTAAAAAACCTATTTCAAAATCTGGCGGTTGATATTTTGTTTTTCGGGTTTTCTAAAAGAAGTGAAATTGTCCAAAATTTTTCTCAGAGAGGAGGTGTTTTTGGTGCTGCAATCTGGTATATTTTATTCGTTTTTTCATGATTGTCAACATCATGTGGGGTAGATTTTGTTTTAGTTGTTTGGTCACTGTTCTATTTGTGGCGTTTCATATTTGTGGCCGTTTTTAGCATATTAATAACTAATGTGCTCTCGTTTTCGTTTTCATCATCTGTGCTTTCACAATGTGTATATGATTTAGTTGCATGCCTGAAGTTTCTGTATTTTCTATTCCTGGTGGGTCTGGAGTTGTGTCTTCTTTTGCTCATACCTGATTCATCTGTCTTTGGTGTTTAGGCGTATTACTTTTATAATTATGATTTTGTCTATTTGAATATTGTGAATTACTTCGATGTGGTGACTGAGAATAGTTTAGTAATCTTTTTTGTTAGCTATTGTTTCTATTTCTGTAGTTATTTGAATTTTCACCAGATCTGTTGTTGTTGTTTCTGTTTTTGGAATTGTTATTTGAGTAGTTTCTGTATCTGTTATTTTGGATCTAGAACGATCATTCGAGCAAAATTGGTTACGGTTGTTGGAATATGATTGATTTCTATGATAGTTAGAATAATTACTTCTACTAGAGTTTGATCTTGAATAATTGTTCCTGTACTGGTTGTTGTGACTATTTGGTTGACTATACCTATTTCTTGAATAATTTTGTGAAATTCTTCTATCAGGGGATCATCCTCGAAAAAAGTTGGTATATGGCGATTGTGATCTGTTTTTACTATAGCTGATGGAAAGTAGTTTTCCTTAGCTATTTTTTCCCTATTTTTGTTTTCATAAGTATTAAAATTTTTGATTATTTTTTCTGCTAATTCTCTATCGGAGTCTTGAATGTTATTTATGTGTGACGCAGTTGTTTGAATATTATTGACATACTGTAATTTTTAATTTTCTGTTTCTACCGATTTCATTGTGATTTCCAAGGGTTCTAAATCATCTTCAAGTTTGCGGAAATCCATATCCGGTTCGCGAAAAGATGATGGATGTGATGCTCTCTTTCATAATGCTTTTTTTTTTACTTGTGATGTTAAAGTCATCAATAGAATTTCCGTCTTTTTTGGATTTTGTAAAACCATGTGTGTTTAGAGATTATGCTTTTTGTTCCAGAGCCTCTATTCTTACAGCAAGTTGTTATGTAGTTTCGTTCGAGTATCTTCATATTTTAATACAAAAGACTATTTGATGTCATAAGGTTTTTTCTGAGTCAAACTTTTTTGAGAACTCTAGGGGAAAATATTTCCAGTCGGATTTAATTTCCATGGGTAGGACTGAAAACTACTTTTGGGCTGCACTGTCAATTGTAATTTGTAACAGTGCTGTACGTCGATGAATCCAGTTTAGATAAATGGTGTATGTATAGGTTCTGGGCCTATTTTTAATATTAGGTTGACTGTGACGGTACTTAAATTATCTTCTACTGAGTATTCAGGGTCTGTTCCTGTGAAAACTTTTTTTTGGTTTGTTTGATGTTTTAGATAATCTACCCATGAGGTATGGATTCATCGTCATTTGAAGTGATTATACTGTATTAAGTATTGGGTAAAACTTGTGAGCTGATTTCTGCTAATTTCAAATTGTTGTAGATAATATGTTAATGAGATTTCAATTTGATAGGTTGATAGCCTTGAGTATTCTTTTGTCGGACAAATGGACAGTTTTCATTGCAATCTGTTTGTTCTTCTTTTATCATTGAAGCTTACGGAGTGAGTTGTTGTCCCTTAGAGGTTTGCTGATTGTGATTGCCTTGTTCACATTAGATTTGTGTTAAAACGAGTAGTCTTGCTATTTGTTTATCAGTTTTTTTAATTGCAATTTAATCGTATCTTTGGTTTGTAAAATTGTTACCATTTGTATATTTTGGTTTTATGAATGAACATTTTTTAGTTGTTGGTCTGTATGTTTAGTAAACCAAATGGGAAAATTCAGTAAAGACTCTTGGCTTAGTGGTTGATTGTAATGTTGTTTGTGGAAACGTAGTATTATTCTAATAACATGGTGTCGTGTGGGATGTATAAATGAATTAGTTTGTTGTGTTGTTTTAGGTATTTTTTTAAACAATTTTTTGAAAATGAAATGTGGTTTTATTTGGTTATCTTTATGAAATATGGTTACACTCCATTTAGGGTACATTGTGTATTCATAAATGTCTAAAGTTTTATTATAAAACGTTTTGTTTTAGTCTAAAAGTGTGATATCAGTCGTTAAAAGACTTACTCATAAGCAATATTTATTTACTGAGAAAGTTTGAAATGCTGCACTGGAGATTTTATTTTGTAAATTTAAAAACACCATGAAACCACTCTGGGTCCCATACATAATCTGTTTCGTCTGTTTAAATTGTTTTTTGTCAATCTTTAAGTCTAGATTATGATGAAAAAATCTACAATTGTGCTTTGTTATTTGTGAAATTGAGCCCAAGAATCGTGACAAGAGATCGACTTCTGTTTTTGGTGCTGAATGTGGAGTTGTTTGTGGTGGAAATACTTTGAAAGTTTCATCTAGTATTGAAAAATAACTGTAGATGATTGAAAAAACATCAATTGTAAATTTTGAGTTTGCTCTTTGTGAATTTTGGTGATGAATTGTTTTGACGTACTCTGCAAAAAATTTTGAGAAAACTATTTCTATATCATCTGTTTGTATTTGATGGGTTAGTCTTTAATTGTTTGAGTCTGGTGGTAAACTTTTAATATTGAATATGCCATTTTGGGACGTTATAACACTATTATCTTGTCAGTAGTGATCTAGTTTCTGTCTTTTATTTTTTACTTCTGGGAACTCCTGTTGGCAGGGACTAGTTCCTTTTCGAATTAAAGGTTATATCAGATTGTGGCGAAATTGTACTTGTCCTCGTGACAGATCACTAATGGGATTAATGACAAATGGGAGGACTGGGTCATTGTTTAAACTTTTGTCGATTTGAATCATTTTTTAAGCGTTGTGACAGTTAATGTATGGCTTTCGATATGTCTTATTGGTTGATTTCAATTATATACTCTTACTGTTTTTCGAC